AACATGACTAAAATTTAAAAGTAGACTTAACTTGACCAAACTTTACTAAATTTGACCAGAACACTCGAATTGACACCACTACTCTTAATTATAGATAACAAGGGAAAGTTGTGTACCCCGATGAGGTATGGTCCAAGGCAATAAGAGTCTGTTTCAAGCAGCTTAGCTCTCCTAATCAAAGATTAAATTTTCGGGCTTATGTTTGTATTTGTGTATATGTAACAGCTAATTAGCTCAATTAGGGTTGTTAATGAGTCGAGCCTAAACGAGATGATACATGAGCCATGCTAAGCTTAGCTCGAAAAGTTCGCAAGCGGCTTGAATTATTTTCTTAAGAAAATATTATATGTTTATTTATATTTAAATAAAGTTAACAAGTAAATAAGCACAATAACATCACCCCACTTTTATACTTGGGTACTGGTAGGCTCGGTTCAATGTAGTAATATGTTGAATACATACTTTTACTTTGTAATATTGTTGATTAGAATTTATTTATTGCGTACTTACATATTTATAAAAGTTTATCAAATACAAAATTTTGATGAATTCATCAAATTCACCTTAACAATATATTACCTCTATTTCTTAATGATTTAACACTTATTAATGTATCTAAATATATGTTTGTAAAAATAATTTAATAAAAGGAGTACAGTTTAATGATCTAAACTTTGCCCGATTTATTTTAAATAATCCCAATTTTTTTATTATTCTGCAATAATCCCAATTTTTTATTATTCTGCAATAATCCCAACTTTCACTTACGTTTTCTTTCTTCAATCTGGATTACCGGTTACCTGAAGAATAGGTTAAAAAAATTTAAACAATTTATTTAACACGTATTACATGCTAATTAGTTCACCAAAATAAAAAAACAAAATAAAAAAAAAACCTCCAAAGACCACCAGCCACCAAATGGTTGGTGGCCGCCCTTCCCCAACCGGCAAACTCCACTCCCAAACCGCCCTCTACGATCCCGCAACTCCATTTTTCCGACCTCCCTCCCCGCATTGGAAACCCTCCCCTCACTCCCTTTGTTTGCGTTTTTCCAGCAATTGGAGGAGAGAGAGAAAGGGAAGGGGATGCTCTTTTGGTGGTTTCGGGGGTGGGGGAGGTGATTTCGAGGATCAGGGGTGGTGTTATAGGTGGTTTCGGGGGTGGGGGGGAGGAGATGGGGATGGTTATAGGGACGTGGGCTTTGGATATGGCCCTTATGGGTGGTTTCGGGTTTTATGGGTGGCGGTTTCGGCGCAAGGATTTTGGCTATGGTTGGGGTAGGGGTGGGGGGAGGTAGAGGGGGTAGGTTTCACGAGGTTAGGGCGGTTTCTCGGGAGGTTTTGGGGGCTGGTGTTAGGAAGGTGGTGGTTCGGGGTGAGTGGCCATCGTCAATGGTTGTGTGCTGGTGGTGGCTTGGTTGGGTTTTTTTTTTTCTTTAATTTTTTTTTAATTTTTTTGAACCAATTGCAACTTGACATGTGTCAAGTTACCTAAAATAAGAGGTCAGGTCATTGACTTTGGTTGAGCAGTTTGGGATTGAAGAAAGAAAAAGCATGTGAAAGTTGAGATTATTTAAAATAATCAGGCAAAGTTGGGATTATTAAACTGTATTTTTTCTGAATTATAAAAAGAATTTTCAAAAATACTTTAGATGAATCTAACACGACTTCACTTCTCCGCATAACGATATTTTTCCTTGTATAAATAAATAATGATGATCAATGTCAAGTTTATGAACCTTGTCTAATGCCAATATATTATGGTTAGAACTAGAGGTGTCAAAACTATATCCGATCCTATCCAATCCGAAAAAAATCCGATTCAGATTTCTACTCGCGTGAGCATAATAATTTAACATGACTCAACTTTAAAAGTTGATCCGACCCGACCTACCTCATCATACCCGATCCGAACATTCAAATTGACACCTCTAATTAGAACTTAGAACTTCCAAAAAAAAATATGATGGTAGTGTAATTTTATGTAACGTCTGCCACATACATGTCATACTTAATAACTGCATAAGTGGCAGGCCTCTCCCTGAGGATAATAGAGAGAGGCGACCGCACAAAGGCCCAAGGCCATGAATCAAAAGGGCCCAAATTGCATAGCCCAACAAAAATTAGTATTTTAGGTTTTAATACTTTCCTAACATTTATTTTTAAGTATTAGTTCTTTCATACTTTTATAGATCTACTAGTATTTAATCAAAATACTTTTTTTTTCTACTATAGGATATACTAGATGAAATCCCGTGCGATACACGATTTTTCGTACATATATCTCAAGAAAAGATATTTCCTATATACTCTAAGTTTTTTTATTTTTATTTTTATTTTTATTTTTATAATTATTTGATTTATTTTACAATTTAATAATTTCAGACAAAAAAAAACAAATAATAATTTAATTAAAATGATATTGCCAATTACAAAAGTATAATTTTTTTAATGTAATTTATAATGCGACTTAATTTATTGTTGTTTTATATTTAATTCGTTGTTGTTAGTTACATGACAATAAAATGATATCTTTCAAAAAAAAAAAAATCGTAATATATCATATTTCATTGATTACATATTAGGATAAAATCTTTAATGTGAAAAGATAATAATTTTTTACTTTTAAAATAATTTAAATCCTAAATCATTATTCGTTGCTTTTTACACTTAAAATTAAACTCTCAAACACTAGACGAAAAACCCCAATCCCCACCGGTTCAAACCCCCCATTCCCCACTGGTTTTGAACCGTTCTTGATTTGGGGGGTGGCAAACCGTCAAAGATATGCCACCGGTTTTAAACTGGTTGCCAAAAGAACTTTCCCCACCGGTTTTGTGGTGAACCGGTGGCAAAAGCTGCTGATTTAGGTTTAAGCTAAGCACTTTTGCCACCGGTTTTCAACTGAACCGGTGGCAAAACTTCACCATTCCCCACCGGTTTTCACAGTGAACCGGTGGCAAAAGTAAGCGCGCCAGATTTTAAATTAATTTTGGGCACCGGTTCATTGAAAAAACCGGTGGCAAAACCTGTTTTTTTTTTTTTTTTAAAAAAATTTATAATTAAAATTAATTAAAAACCTGCACATCCTGTATTAAATCTGCCATTAAAATATATTATAATAACAGTAATAATACCCCAAATTATTACCCGTATTATTATTATTATTATTATTATTATTATTAAAAATACTAATAATATAATAATTTTTACATTGGAATAATAACAACAATACATAAATATTAATTAATAACCGTAAATGCGATACAATGAAATGTCATATAGCTTTTACAACTCATTAATTAAAAGGTGTTATATTTACAAACTATACTAATAATTAATGTATAAGTTAACAACTTCAAATTAAATTATATGTGATTAAAGACGCTAACATATCTCGAACTTCATTCAGCTCTTTGCTCGTCAATGGACCTCCTTTCTGTACCTTGCAAAACTTGGTTAAACAAAAATGATGTTAGCTAGAATTAATTACTTAGGTTATGTATGTAAAAATACATTTACAATTTAAGTTAGGCAAAAATTTAATACATAGGCCTATATGACTACTACTTCACCTATTTTCTACATTTATAATCAAATTAGCTCACTCTTCCTCATAACATGTCAATATTACCTAGTTAGAGGAAGCTAAAGCTTGAAATCACATTAAAAGAACATTTGAATGGTTTTGGGACGCAATTTCATTCAAAATTACCGAAATAACGCCTATATCACTACTTGTATGCCTATTTTCTATATTTTTGATCAAAATAGCTCATTCTTCCTCTTAACATGTCATTTTTACCTAGTTAGAGGCAGGTAAGGCTTGATATCACATTAAAAGAGCATTTGAATGGTTTTGGGACGCAATTTCATTCAAAATGGTCGAAATAAGGCCTATATCACTACATGTATGCCTATTTTCTACATTTATAATCAAATTAGCTCACTCTTCCTCATAACATGTCAATATTACCTAGTTAGAGGAAGCTAAAGCTTGAAATCACATTAAAAGAACATTTGAATGGTTTTGGGACGCAATTTCATTCAAAATTACCGAAATAAGGCCTATATCACTACTTGTATGCCTATTTTCTATATTTTTGATCAAAATAGCTCATTCTTCCTCTTAACATGTCATTTTTACCTAGTTAGAGGCAGGTAAGGCTTGAAATCACATTAAAAGAGCATTTGAATGGTTTTGGGACGCAATTTCATTTAAAATGGCCGAAATAAGGTCTATATCACTACATGTATGCCTATTTTCTATGTTTTTGATCAAAATAGCTAATTCTTCCTCTTAACATGTCATTATTACCTAGTTAGAGGCAGCTAAGGCTTGAAATCACATTAAAAGAGCAAGTCAAGTGTTTTGAGACGCAATTTCATTCAAAATGGCCGAAATAAGGCCTATATCACTACATGTATGCCTATTTTCTATGTTTTTGATCAAAATAGCTAATTACTCCTCTTAACATGTCATTATTACCTAGTTAGAGGCATCTAAGGCTTGAAATCACATTAAAAGAGCAAGTCAAGTGTTTTAAGACGCAATTTCATTCAAAATGGCCAAAATAAGGCCTATATCACTATATGCATGCCTATTTTCTATGTTTTTGATCAAAATAGCTCATTCTTCCTCTTAACATGTCATTTTTACCTAGTTAGAGGCAGCTAAGGCTTGAAATCACATTAAAAGAGCATTTGAATGGTTTTGGGACGCAATTTCATTCAAAATGGCCGAAATAAGGCCTATATCACTACATGTATGCCTATTTTCTATGTTTTTGATCAAAATAGCTAATTCTTCCTCTTAACATGTCATTATTACCTAGTTAGAGGCATCTAAGGCTTGAAATCACATTAAAAGAGCAAGTCAAGTGTTTTAAGACGCAATTTCATTCAAAATGGTCGAAATAAGGCCTATATCACTACATGTATGCCTATTTTCTATGTTTTTGATCAAAATAGCTCATTCTTCCTCTTAACATGTCAATTTTACCCAAGATCGTAACTTTAGCTCGTAAATTTTGTTTAATCTAGATGTATTAAGGTAATTCTCAAATAATTAACTTAAAGTAGATTAATCATGGTTATATCCTCAACACCAAATTAAACCACCACTACACCCAGCCGCCCCTCCCCTTCCCTTTGATGCCCTACCTTTTACCCTTAAACCACCCAGCCACATCTAGCGATAACCTATAAGAGCCTAGTCAACAGTAGCATCTAGCTCATAAAGATATTTATGGTTGCTGAAAAGTTGGAGAAACATATACTGTAGACATATATCTATTAGGGAAACCAGACTTTTGTTTTACAATTTGCATGAAAGCGAAAAAAGTGTCAATTAGAGAGGGAAAAAAAAACAAAAAAAAAAAAATTACAGTTCACTGCTGGCCAAATAGCATGATGCACTCACCTAAAAGATAATCCTTTTTTGGAGTTGGAGTCCACCAAGGCCTTAATTGTAATTCTTCGTTGAATGTCAATGATTGACACAACGTATCACTAGCAAGCTCAAGAGCTTGAGTTCCACATTTCAAGGATTCAAAAACACCCTGTCAAGAATACATGTCAGTGACACATAAGAAATATCAGCATGTGGCTAAGGGCATGTCCTGCAAGAAATATTACCTCTTCCTCCTCAATATTATTAGCTTTCTCTTTCAGCTTTAAAATAGATGATTCAAGTCGTGCAATCAGATATTGATTAGAGTGTTGCAATCGTTCTTTAAACCGCACAAATTCAATAACCTGAAACATAGGCAGCAGAAGCAACACTGCTGGTTAGCCCATAAATATTAAGAGTCCCAACCCCGATACTATTTTCTAATTTTAGGCCCTCCACAGTCTACACCTACTTTGTAGAATCATGAAATACTTTTACCAAAAGCACAACTTGACTCAATATACAAACAGAAAATTTTAAAAGCTTTAAAAACCAGCCGTCCTATTTTATCAATAAACCTCAGTTTAAAGTCTTTCAATCATCCCCCCCTAACCCAAGTGGGCAAGTGCATATGCATCATGACAATATGCACTTCGAGTTTTAAATATTGGAATAAGTAATCCTAAAATCCTTAATTTCAATTCATCAACACCCTCTAAAATATAAATTCATCAACAAGAAACTCCAGAGGTTGTCCTTAGAGTCTATCCATGATCTCCATTAAGCACTGAACACACACCAATCCACACATCCCTAGCAGCATGCACTTCACTCATAAAATCCACGACTGACAAGAACCGTATGCACCAATAGAACAAAAGCAACATCACACTTTATGAGCTAAAGCCAATTCCTGCTAATGCTAGTCATTTCATACCCAAGTACCCATGTCATTGTTGAACATATTCTACATTCAATTTTCAGATCAGCAGAAAATATGCACAACTCGAAATTAAAAAAGAAATTAAAGCAAACCACAAATAATGCATAAAACCCAAAATAACGACTAACCCTAGATTGCGAAATTAATCAATAATACCTCAAAGCTGCTACAATGCAGTTGGAAAGTCAGAATGCGCTTCATTGGAGGTAAGAAAGCTCGACAGAATGCGCTTTAATGGAGGAGAGTTATGGAGAGAAAGAGAAGAGTTGCGCGGCAATGGAGGTGAGAAACCCAGAATGCGCTTCAATGGAGGACGACAGGAAGGACGAGAACAATGGTGAGGGTCGTATGTAGGCGAGAACGAGAGAGGAAGAATAATTGATGAAGTTGCAGTAATGGAGGCGAGAAGAACAGCAGCAGCAGCGCAATTGGGAAAGCAGGGGTTGGGGAATGCGAATTGAATGGAATAGTGCTGAACGAAGGAAAAAGAAGTATAAGGGCGGGTTTTTTTTTTTTTAAATGCCACCGGTTCGAACCGCTGTTAAAACACCTTTCCCCACCGGTTTGGGTTGAACCGGTGGCAAATCTGTTTTCCTCCTTTTTTTTTAACAAAAACAATTAGGATTTGCCACCGGTTTTTCAGGAACCGGTGGCAAAAGTGATTATCCAAAATTAAGCCCACTATTTTTCCCACCGGTTTTTAAGAACCGGTGGAAAAAGGGGGGTGGCTTTTTCGATTTTTCTACTAGTGAAATCTATATATCATTTTGTATATTTCTTGTGATTTCTTGATCTCTAACAAATTATCTGTCTTTTCAAATTTTTAGACATAAAATGTTTAAAGAAGGTAAAGTTTTTTTTATTGCGTTATAAGTTTTAAATTTTTTTTATGAAAAAAACATCTTATTAATCGGGTATTTAGATAAAACCACTAATTTCATAAGATAATTTTTATTTTTTTAATAATTTAAATCCTAATATCCCGCGGCTTTTTATACATAAAATCTCATAAAAATAATATTTGTAAATAGATCATACTCATAATATTTTTGAACATTAAAAATAATAGTTATTATTTGTAATATTTCGATGTAAAAAAATTTGTATTAAAAAAAAATTCAATAGGATCACCAACTTTGTTCACACCGATATCTCTTCCATCTAATAAAAGTGGATAAATAGAACATGTTATCAAAAATAAAATTTATATAAAATTAATCTTTATAGTCTTATAAAATAAATCAAAATATTTACCAGAAAGTGAATATTAATCTAAAAATTGTAATTATACAAAATTAAATCTATGCATTGAAATTTTTCATCGTCCCCAATTGCCCAAACAATAGTATTTTGGAAAATTGAATCATTATTTTATTGTCGCTGACAATGGATGTGATATTGCTTCTTATTTGTAACGACCGAAAAGTATCTAACGGAGTAGATTTCTTCCTTCAATCAATTTTGAACAAAATTGTAGAACAAAATTGACTTTAATTGAGGCATGAACGTAATCACCCTGTAATTAAAAATAAAATTAAATTAAGTTAATTTTATGACTTAATTAAGCTACCTAAATCACAAAAAATTTGTTTTAATCATAAAATTAATTGATAAAAACTAAAAGGTTCATTAAAAGGTTTAATAAATGTAAACGATTTATAAAGATATAATACCTCCTCATCCAATAGGATCATCAGGCGAGAAACTCGTACTTTGATATTCCAAAGATTTTTGATCAAATATAATTCTCTAATTAAATTAGAACTGCATGTAAAAATAAAATTCAGTAAACAAAACATAAACATATAATCATTAAATATCCCAAATAAACACAATTTAAGCAATAATCACAAATATACATTTAAACATGGGTTTTAGAAATTAGGCTAAGAATTACCCAGCCATTGATGACCTAATAAAATTGACACAAAATTTGCTTGGTTTGGTTTTGTATTGATACAAATTTTTGTTGGTGTCATATGATGCGTCAATTTATAATGGTAAAGATCACAAATTTTAATTTAATTTTAATTAAGGAATAATTTTTATTTCTTATCATAAACACTATCAAAATTTATCTGATAATAGTAGGTATATAAATCCTATATCTAAAGATGATTATTTGAAAAGATAATTTTTTGTTTTTTAAATAAATTAAATCCTAATAAATTAATATTCGTTGTTTTTACTTATGTGGCAAAATTCTTAAATCTCATTCGTCACTTTTATTTAGGTGGCAAACGAATTTTTTAATTCCAAAATAAAATAGAAATCTAATTTTTAATTGGTCGAAAATATACCTTTGCTTAAGTGGCACACCGAATGCTCTCCAAAAATGCCTACTTTATTTATATATAATAGATTATTATATTTTTTGTAGAATTTGGCCCAAATTTATAGTTCAGTTGTTTTGCTGGATTACTTGTTCATATTCTAAAAGCTTCTCCAAAAATCAAGCAAGGTTAGTATTTGCTTTAGATTTATCTAGACTTATCTACTTGAACGTTTTAAAGAATTCTTAAACTTGGAAGCAACTAGAAGCTATGGTTCATGAAATTTCTAGAATGTTATGGATATAAGAATGTGGATGAGATTTTGGAATATTATTCTAGCCATTTCATTCACCCTCCATCTTTAACTATAAATATTGTTGATGGGCACATAATAAAAATATATACATACAAAAGAAGTCGTACCAATACACAAGCCTTCATACACTTCAATAAGTCTTAGCTACACCCTGGTGCTTCTAGCTGCACCACGCCCTATAATATGAACATTTAGTAAAAAAATATGATCACGTAAGAAAATGAACATTCACTAATAAACAAATGAACATTTAGTATGAAAAAGTGAACATGTTAAAAAAAAAATTGATTATTTAGTAGTATATTAAAAATGAACATGATTATCATATAATCACAAATTGATGGACCACGACTTTAAAAATGAACATTTAGTAAAAAAAAATATAAAATAAAATAAAAATAAATAAATAAATTTGAACACGTAAAATAAAATGATAATTTAGTATAAAAAAAATGAATAAAAAATGAACATGTCAAAAAAAAAATATATAAACATTTGGAAAAATTCATGGCAATAATCCGACCTTTAGCCCATTCTTTTTTAATAATCCGACCTTTCGATTATTATTTAATAATCCGACCTTTGGGGGTCTTTAATTTTTATTGGTCCCATTTGACTGGAAACCAGTTGAAGAGGTAAATTTTTTTTTTTTGGTTTAAAATACACGAGTCATTACATAATTGGTCAAAAAAAAAACAAAATAAAAAATTAAAAAACCCAAATAATTCAGCCACCAGCCCACCATCATCCCCACTACCACCCAACATAAATTTTTTTTTGATTTTTTCTTTTCTCTCTCCTTTCCCCAAACACCACCACTGCTCCACCCATCCCCACCACCGCTGCACTACTACAGTCCCCATCCCCACCACCAAAACCTTCCCTTCCCCTTCCCGACCACCGTTGCCAACCCCCAGTCCCCCGCCACTAGTTCAAAACTCCCCACCCCACCATAGCAGGCCCGATTCCACCCTTTCCCGACCACCGCTGCCAACTACCACCACACCCTCTCAGCCCCAGCAGACCCCCGTAAAATCCTACCTAACCCCATCCCCTTTCACCTCGCAAAAACCCCACTTGACCCCGACCGCCTCCCACCTGACCCTCCTAAAGCTCCACCCCAGCAAAACCCCTCAACCGAGTAACTGAGTACGCTTCAATGGAGGAAAACGGAGGATGGAAACCCCTTAACCCACCTTCCTCTCACCTCCACCTCTACTCATCAGTAACACCACTGTACCTTACCAACACCACCACCTCCTCTCAATTTCTCTGTAAATCATCACCATTGTTGTTGTTGTTGCCGCGTCACCGCCACTTCCGGTGGACAAGAAACACGTTTTGTCGTAGTAGCTTATGCTCGAATTTCTGGAATAGGCGGGGTATTGGAACAGGTGGGGTTTTTTGGGTTGATGAGGGTTATTGGGTGGTGGGTGATTGTTTGGGTTGTGTGGTGGTGATGGTAGCAGTTGTAGGTGGTGCTCGTAGTTGCAAGAAGATGGTGGTGTTTTTTTTTTTTATTTTATTTTTTTTTTGATTTGTTTTTTTTTTACCAATCACATGCCGCCACGTGTCATGTAACCTGTTATAACAGGTTACATGACTGGTTGGGACCAATAAAAATTAAAGACCCCAAAGGTCGGATTATTAAAAAAGAATGGGCTAAAGGTGGGATTATTGCCATGAATTTTTCCTAAACATTTAGTATAGTAAAAATGAACATTAATCATACAATCATAGAATAGCTAGACCATACCTAATAAAAGAACACTTCATAAAAATATATGAATACATACATAAAAAAAATAAACACGTAAACAAATAAACACGTTAATGTTATGAAATATTGTATGGATATCCATTATCCTTCTTCTATCATTCTGGAATATTCTAAATCTAGGGTTTATTATTATCTAAGCAAACCCTTGTTATATTGTATGTATATATATATATCCTCCACTCTATGAAATAAGATAGACTGATTTATTCTCTCCCCAATTTCTCTCAAATCTCTCTTTATTTCTCTTCCATATTTAACACGTTATCTGCACCATCGCCGACTAATAAGCAGACGTATGAAGAAATTTAGTTATATTAAGATTCGGAAAAGGTACCTATATTCCTTTTTCTCTTTCTCGTAATTAAATTATGAATTTTAAAGAATAAATTATAAATATTATTGCCGCATATTTAATTTCGTTGATTTTCGTCCGATTGTTATTGTTTCTGGTGATATATAATCCATAATTGAGTTCCTCAACTTAAAGATACCATTTAATTTTATTTATTCTTTTTCTTTAAGGTGTAATCATATATTTGAATACAATATGCTTTGATGGATTATACGCATAAATAATAGTAGTTCACCGTAAGTTGTTATTGAATTGTT